TTAGACCGTCGTGAGACAGGTTAGTTTTACCCTACTGATGAAGGTCACCGCAACGGTAATTCAATTTAGTACGAGAGGAACCGTTGATTCAGATAATTGGTTTTTGCGGCTGTCTGACCAGGCAGTGCCGCGACGCTACCATCTGCCGGATAATGGCTGAACGCCTCTAAGTCAGAATCCGTGCCGGAACGCGGGTGATGTTGCCCGCACGTCGTAGTTGGATACGAATAGGCCTCCGGGCCATGCACCTCAGCAGGCTGGCGACGGCTCCCGGGGAGAAACCCCTAGGGGCTGGCTGGCGGATTGTAATGTCACTCGCGCGGGGATGAATCCTCTGCAGACGACTGAAGTGACCAAGCGGGTCGTGTACGCGGTCAAGTAGCCTTGTTGCTACGAGTCGCTGAGCGTCAGCCCGATCCTTGGCTAGATTTGTGCAAATAACACCCTCCCATCAACGTGCTCGGCAGCGCCGGGTGCTTGGAGGGGGGGAAAGGGTACCGGGTAGGCCAACCGCCTACCGGAGACCACTGTTCCTTCTTCTGCTTCCGAGATCCCCTCCGAGGGGTCTTGGGGGTCCTTCTCCTCTGGCGGAAGCCGGAGCCAGTTGGCCGCAAGGGGACCCATTCGCCCGGCCGGACGGGCGGTTTCGCGGTTTGGCCGGGTGCTGGGCCAGTTGGCCAGCGGGGAGCGACTTGTGGATGGCGCCGCGGGAGACGGCAACCGGGATTTTTTCCGCGGGACCCTCCCTGCCCACGCACCTCATGTGGCCCGGGGCGGGCGTCGCCGGGCTGGGGGGTGCCCCTCCTGGCGGGCAAGGGGCCTGGGGCAAAAGGTCCGGGGGCGGGTGGGCGCCGGACCGAAAAGCACGGGGGCGGTCCGGGGGTGGTCTGGTGCCTGGTCGAATGGACCTGGGGTGGCCCACCGCCAGACCAGTTGGCGCGGAGGGGGCTTGGGGAGAATACAGGGAGGTGGATGGTGCCTGGCGGGTAGGGGCGAGGTACGGGACAAAGGCCCACTGGCGGACCAGTTGGCGCGGGAGGGTGCCTTGGGAGGCGGGTGGGAGTGATCACGTGATGCGAGCGGCCTAGGTCGCGAGGCAAAACGGTCCGGGGGGTGTGGTGCCCGGGGCAAAAGGCACGGGGGCGGTCCGGTGCCTGGGGCAAAAGGTCCGGGGGTGGGTGGGCGCCGGACCGAAAAGGCACGGGGCGGTCCGGTGCCTGGGGCAAAAGGTCCGGGGGTGGGTGGGCGCCGGACCGAAAAGGCACGGGGGCGGTCCGGTGCCTGGGGCAAAAGGTCCGGGGGTGGTCTGGTGCCTGGTCGAATGGACCTGGGGTGGCCCACCGCCAGACCAGTTGGCGCGCGGAGGGGACCGGGGGGAATAGGGGGGAATACGGAGGCGGGTAGATAGGCCTGCGGGTCAGGGCCATATATATATATCCACACACGCGGATATATATCAGTGGAAGCCAAACAGGCAGATGGCCATACATCCGCATCCAGCCCCGACCTACCTCCCCGCTCGACACCTGCACCCACAAATATATATAACCACCACCGCCTTCCCCGGCGCACCCACCCTTTCCCCAACTCGGCCCACGGGCGGGCCAGGGCCTCCTGGTGGCCATAGCCCGGCTCTATGCCCCGACTGCCGTCACTATATGATCCCACATGTCACCATTGGGCTCGCCGCAACGGTCGGCCGAGGTGTCCACCCAGACCAGTTGGCCGCCCAGACCAGTTGGCCAGACCAGTTGGCCGGGTGGGCCAAAACGCCTAAGTACGCTATCTGCCGGGTTGGGGGCAAATTCGGGTGGCCCACTTTGTATGGGAAAAGTGACCGACGCACGGGCCACCCCATACTAAAACCGTCCCCCCCAGCAACTTTCGGACACCTCAACGTTTGTGCGCACGATGTGTGCCCAAGTGAGGCCGGTGGTACTACGTGGAAAGGAGGTCAACTTGACAGCCGGAAGCACCCCTCCGGGGCACGTTTCGCGGTGTTCCTGATGGCCTCCCGTCCACATCTTCCCTGCTAGACAGGCTGCCTCTCCATGGCTCACAGCGCCTGGGTCCTTCGGGCCTCGCTCGAGTCGTGGGAGCAGTCTACCGCTGGCGTCCTCTTCATTGCGGACAACGGCGACCGAAGCCCGGGTGCCCGCACCCGGCGCCGATGGGGTCTGTGGATCGGTGGCCGTTGGCCAGTCCTGATACCTAAGTTCCGGAGGGGAGCCGCCCGCGGTAGCCGCCGTTCGTCGGCGTGTCCGTGGGGCGGACCCCTCACTCGAGGACCGTATGCCGCAGCCTGGCAGCGCCCGCAAGGGCGACCTGCCGGGGTTCTGCGCGCGGACCGGCTCCTGGAGGGCTACACAGTGTGGGCAATTGGATGGTCGCATGTGTGCCGCCGGTACGCCGGGGGGCGTCGCTGTGACCGGGCGCTTGTGCGCCCCTTCCAGAGTTTAATACCTACAAACATACCGCCCTTTCGGGGGCTTTGTGGGCTCTACTTCGGCGGGTAACACCCCGGGGCAGGGTCCTCTATGTACCAAGGTATCTGGTTGATTCTGCCAGTAGTCATATGCTTGTCTCAAAGATTAAGCCATGCATGTCTAAGTATAAGCACTTTATACTGTGAAACTGCGAATGGCTCATTAAATCAGTTATCGTTTATTTGATAGTACCTTACTACATGGATACCTGTGGTAATTCTAGAGCTAATACATGCTGAAAACCCAACTTCGGAAGGGGTGTATTTATTAGATAAAAAACCAATGCCTTTCGGGGCTCCTTGGTGAATCATAATACTTAACGAATCGCATGGCCTTGCGCCGGCGATGGTTCATTCAAATTTCTGCCCTATCAACTTTCGATGGTAGGATAGTGGCCTACCATG